CTCTAATCCCCTACATAACCCTATATATAGCAGTTTCCATTTCATTTTCCATTTTCTTTTCCATTTGATTCTCCATTATTAAGGGCCCTATACCCATACTAGGAGTTTAGACTACAACCCCTATAATCCCCTGTATAATCACAGTTTCCATTTCATTTTCCATTTTCTTTTCCATCTAATTCTCCATTAATGGCCCTAAACCCTAAACCCTAATGAGGCCATGAACTCCGAGAGCTCTCGGAGCCATCTTGTCCTGCTCATCAAGATCATCAGCGTCAACAAGTGCTACCGGCCTGGTTCTGCTCACTGGTGCCTAAGGGGAAGGGGGCGAGTGGATCCCCAAAACGATGCCCATGAAATTCCCAACTTGCAGTTCTCTCCCACCCCCCTTATGCAGCAGCTGCAGCAGCAGCAACTTTGGGGTAGGTTCTCGCTGGCTGCAGCTTACACGCGCAGCCCTGGAGCCCAGGGATCAGCTGCAAAACATTCAGTTCTGAGTGCCGGAAACTAGTAGTATCCGTCATGTTCATCTAGCCCCATAGTGATGTCTATGTCCAACCATGATGCGAGTAGTAGTGCAACTGTGGGTAGCCCAGTTCCCAGTTTAGAACAAGATTGCGCTCTCTTTTCGCGAGTAGCATTGCATAAGATAGTTTCCTTTCTTACTCGATTCTCACCAGGTTCAACCGCAAGAACATGTTCCTCATGAGGTGCCCGAATCATTATGGATAACTCCAACCCTTAGGCTTATACGTAGTGTCTCTTTCAGTACCTTGCCACATAAACAGGTTGAGCTCCAGATGTGAAATTTTGTCCCAGCCAGGGAGACCAAAGAGACGCTGAAGGGAAAGATGCTCATGTGCAGCTTGGCGGCACTGGAAAAAGATTAAATAGAGCGGCCCAAGGCATTTGCAGGCGCATGTTGGCAAAAGGGGCTGCGCGCATGGTAGATATGTCGAAGACAGCTTTGGAAGTGGAAGTGTTCTCTTTTTATCCACTGTGAAATATTGCTGTTGAGCTTGCAGATTTACGCGCAAGTTTGATTCCTGTGAAGACTGGAACGAAGCAGCCAGAAACCAGACAGGAACGACTCTTTCCGAGATTTGCTCCAGTTTTATCTCCCAGTGTCCTACTGTAGCTGACATGTAGTGAGGCATAAGAGACTACCACACCTTGGGTAAAGGCTCTTCTAGAATGGAATGGAAGAGGACAAGCTTTATGCGCAGCGGTTTACCGCTCTACGTGCACCGTGATTCCTTGAAGTTGACAACAGACATTTTCACACTTGGCAATAGCAAGACAAGCCTACACTACCCGTCATGACTTGATATCAAGCAGGGTTTTGTAGATCCGCCCCATGACCCTAGACCCAGACCCTAAATCCTAAACCCTAAAGCCTAAATCCTGAATCCTAAACCTTAAACCGAAGCCCTTAGCTCACTGGCAAGGTGACCTTGCGGGCTCTGAGCGACTAAAGAAGTCGGAGGCTTCAACTAAGGGCCGGGTTGCGTTTACCCTATCTGTCCAAGGGCCTAAGCGACCATGAAAACAGGATATTGAGGGGCTTGGGCTTCCAAATGTCACGTTTTTTTGTTTCTTGGTCTAGGGTTCAGGATTTATAGGGTTTATGAATATCAGAATTTTGGGGGCGCCAGATCCCTTTCCTTCTTGTTGACATGATTTTCGTCCTCATGGGGTGGACTTGGGTCGTGTAGCGGAATCTGTAGTGGCCAGTTTGCGGAAATATGTTTCAAGCAACGACCATGTGCCTGTTCCTCCTCCTTGTTTTCGTGTCAGCGCACTTGAAACTTGCAAGGAGGCGCAGCATGGTGGCTAGATTCCCGGATGGTATGGCGTTAAAAGGTTCAGGGACAGGTCTCACCTATGTCTCGAAGCCGATTGTCATGATGTCACACCTTCACCCTAAACCCTAAACCCTATGTCCAGGTCACCTGCAGACCCGAAGCCTACCTCAGAAGCATAGCTACCTCTTACAGCTCCCGGGATGTAGACAGTCTTGGCTCATTCTTCCTAAGCCCTAACCTTACTGGTGTTTAGTAGGGAATAAGGGAATACAATCCCTATGTAACCCCTGTATAATATGCTCTCTTTCTCGTACTGACCCGCAGTAAGTAACCTGTATATGGAGGATATGCAACAGGCCATTGTAGAGGTACTTGAGCTGAAGCCAGTGCCGCTTGGTGTTTTGACGCAGGTAACAGAGCACCAGCAGAAGGAAGCCATTGAAATTAACAGGCGCGTTGCGAATGGCTTTTCCTTACGCAGTGATTGCCTTCCCCTAATGGGTAATGACGGGGCGATGCAAATTTTGCCAGGTCTGCTGGGAGTTGGTGGATCCTGGGTAGGTGGTTAGGAGGCTTTAGCTTGTTGCGCAAGGAACTTCTGTAACCAGTGCTACTTTGGACTGCATCTCTCCTATCAGGTTGCGTCACGGAATCAGATCAGATCTGTAGGAAGTGCACTCCAAAATCCTGAAGTGGAGTAAAAGCCATGGCAGCAATAAAAGAACCAACCCCAAGAAAAGCAGTGGAATCTGCCTCCATAGTGTTGCTTCGATGCTATCAGCTTCTTGAGGCTTTCCGGTCAATGCGAGGTTGGTAGGGGCCCTCCCTACCGTTTGTTGAGGAAACTCGCGCCTCCCTGTGCTGGATATCATGGTCCTGCATCAGACTTTCCCTTCTTTGACAGGACCCCAAAGAAGAGAGAATCCTTGACCCCCTGACGGCAGGTCTCTTACGGCCCTGGGCGATGTGATTGAGGCAGTGCTTTCTTTGTCTTGCGTTTCTTCAGTTCTGTTTAGAACTGTTAGGACCTAAAAGTTTGGGACGGGAATCGCAGCCAAGCAAGGCAACAACTATCATGATGACGACGAGGGTGATGACCATGTATTCAACCCCTCGATTCCCCAAGCTCTCTGAGACTTTGCCTTGGTTCTCGACATAATTGCGGTGCCTCGGGTCCGTCATTGAGTGTAGATTTCCCTGAAGGGTTCTCCCATCTCCAACCTTCAACCTTCGTCTTTAGTCGAGAGAGAGGCAGTGGTTTGATGTCCACATGGTCGTGAACTTATAGAAAGCGGCCCTTACGGGATATGCAGGCAGATATTACAGACCTGGCAACCTGATGATGCTGAACTGATTGGCGGACATGCTCGTCTCGCTCTTCGTACAATTCTGTGACTGAAGCCTTTCCCTACTAGCGACTCGAGCATGTAGCACTTGTGGCATCCGTGACCTTTTCCTACTGTGTAGTCCAACATCTTGCCACACAGAAGTATGGACTTATCATTGCAGGCTTCATGTAAAGTGCAGTTCCTAGAAATGAAAGTTGGGGTACAAACGACGCCCCGCTGTGCGCAAAACGGCGCCGATTTTGCAGGCATTGACCAAGGGCGGTAAGGGAGTCGTTCCCTACAGGACGCGCGGAGGGTTTTGCAGTTCTTTGTTTGTGCATGTAGAGACGTAGGATTTGTCGGTTTCAAGGTTGTTTGGGTAGGGTTTTGTGGCTCGAGCTGGAGGGTGCGCGTAGTAAGAGAGTGAAGGGTTGCAACGTAAGCCAATTCACATATGTATATGACAAGCCCTTTCCGCCATCAATACACTTCACTCCCTCATGTCCTTCGAAGCACCAGGCAGCCGTGACAATACTCAGCAGTGACCAACATCGTGAGGGACACCAACAGGTCGTCTCACAACGTTAACATAACACACCGCAGCCTTCCTAGAGCATCTTGTCAACTAAAGTCTTCTTGAACACATTCACCCCAACCCCTAACCCCTAAACCCTAACCCCTAAACCCTGACCCCGAAACCGAGCTGGTTCTAGGAAGCTCAGGATTGCACGACATCGTGGCATGGCTTAAGTTCAATTGTCGATCGGAGGCCAACCGAGCCGAGAAACCACCACCACCCACGTAAGCCACACGGTCTGCTTCGTACAGAGAAGGGTATGTCAGAATTTGGAGTATGTAATCCCGACACCCTAAACCAACCAGGAAGCCTGTGCACGAAAGCCTGTGGACAAAAGCCTGTGGACAATCAGCTGTAGACTTGGGCATACATGTTTGGATGTTGTGGCAGCGGATGAGCGGAGCACGCCCATGCTCAGACAGCACCGTAAAACGCTGACAAAACTCTCAGCACCAGCCTCGTTGTGATGGTTCATGTGAAATTTGATGGAGTGCCCGCGCAAAACTAAACCTTGCAGAGAGTAAGCTGAAACAAGGGCTTGAGATCTGAGCAGACTAGTGGCGTAGGGATTTGCCATGTGGCTCATGGAAGATGCCGGAATTAACTTCCATTCAGCTTGAAACATCTTGTCACACCGCCTTCCCTGTCAAACCGCCCTCCTAACACGCTCATCAGATGCGTTACTCCAGGAATCACAAGCTGACGCAGCTCATGCAAGATTCGCTGGGCGGAACTGCCTCTAGGCAGCACCTATTCTGGTTTGCGGCTAAGGAGCTTAGTCACGATAACATGGGTGTATAGCAAATTACTGGGTTTCTTTATTACCGTAACCTAATTTAACTTCGTTGGCAACAACCCTGTACTTCAGTATTGCTTCCTTAACGTTAAAGCTGCGCTGCAGCAGAGCTAGTAGGTTCCATACAGCTGGAACCGGCAAATGATCCGTAAACCCTAAACCCTAAACCTGGGAGTATCCGTTTATCTCCAGCTACTGGAAAGCTTGGAACTTGATCCCTGGACTCTGAGGTTTTGCAGCTGCAGGAGGCACATTGATGAAGACTCGCAAGAATTCCTCTATGGTAGCAGGAGTCAAACAAGACCTCGTAAATGATAGTTCCAAAAACAACCACTTCCTGGATAAGACCCGAATCTGAAGAAAGGTTTGTTTGGGACGGCTTGTTTGTGCTTGTTCGATTACCGAAGTAGCGGCAAGGACACCATGCAGTTCAATCTTGGCTTCTTTGCAAATTCAGCTATTGCTCCGTAGCCTCAGGTTGACCCTCCCCCTAATAATATCAAAAATCCAAAACATACTACACTATACCATAATTGGAATATCTAACATTAGGGGGGTGCGGAGTTTGATATTCGGCGGAGGGGTCTGGCTATTATACATGCCACTCGCGTCCCGTAAGATGGTTTCCTCGTTGGTAGCTTCAGGTTCAGAGGAGTTCTCCAACCATGGAACATTTCGTTGCAACATTAGCATAGGGCTAGCTCCAAAACTAGGGTCCCATTTTTGCTGCCTCAGAAAGCCAGGTGTCGTATCATTACCCCAAACGAGCTATGAACTTGGGAAACTACCAACATCTGCAGTGAACTGGCATCTTCCGAGAAACTCGCGCCTTTTTCTTTGCCATGGCGGGGCTTGTGTGGCATGAGACAGACCTTGAGAGGCCCTTGAAGGCAAGGAGGGTAGAGTGTCAGTACTTCCAGCGCTGCAAGAGTTTTCTGCAATCTTTGGACTTATTGCCTGCAGAGTTTGATCCTGCACATGACCGATGCTACTGCCAAGCTTGTGCAGAGGCGTCTGGGCTTCCTGAGGTCATGGATGTTGCGGGTGAGCCTTACGAGTTGCCTTTGGGCTTTGCAGGGTTTGGAATGAAAGTCCCAGCCAGGGCTGCCAGCCTCCGCGTCTTTGAAGACTGGCATGTGTCTTATCACGGACTGAACGCAAAGGCTTTAGCTTCAGTTCTGCGGGAAGGAGGCCTACTTCTGCCTGGAGATGTCTTGCTGGATGGTTCTGAGGTCGAGGCAGTTCACACCCGTGGAGGGACTGAGAGGATGCAGCTGTATACATCGCCATCGCCAAAATATGCCGAGCACGATGTTTACACCAGTCCCCAATGCTTTGGGCATGAGCAAGCGAAGGTGGTGCTGCAGTGTCGGCAAAAACCGGGCTATCACGTGAGTGGAGAAACTCTGGGGCTGTTTTGGCAAGTTTCCAGGCATTTTGGGAATGATACGATCGAGCGCTATACGCGTGCGCGGGCATCGATCATTCCGTATCGAATCCTCGTGAAACTAGAGCCGCCTACCTGCCAAGTGACTTGGTCCAGCAGAAACTTGGGAGCGACCACCGTTTCAGTACGGCAACTAAGAAAATGCCAAGACGAAGAGTACTTGGCGGATGGAGACGTGGTGGCTGCAAGTTGCGACCTTGATTTCGGAGCGGTTGGGCACATGCCCGACTCAGAGGGTGCTGTGGTTAGTGCTGGTTCGCTTGGAATCCTGAAGCGGCAGAGCCCTCAAGCGGATCGCGTAGCTTGGATAGGCCGGGACCTGGCAGAAACTCAAGTGGCGCAGGATCAGATTCGCAAGTGTCCTCCAAGTGACTATTGGCAGAATGGAGATATCGTAAAGGCAGCTTTTGATCTGGACTTCGGTGCTGTGGGCCACGAAGGCGACGATCTTGGCAGTCTGGTACAGCATGGCTCCCTTGGTGTTCTGCGGCGGAGTGTGCAGCCGATACGGGTTGAGTGGCTAGGCCGGGCTTTGCCCGAGACGATTGTCGAAAAAAATCAAATTCACAAATGTGCCCCCCATGAGTTCAAGCAAGTAGGTGATGTTGTGAGGGCAACACGTGATCTGCATTTTGAGCAGGGGATGGTGGTGACACACGGCTCGGTTGGCGTCATAACCGCGATAACCAGCTTGAATGCAGATGCTGGCTGGAATGTCCAGTGGTCGGGCCACAAGGAGCTTGGCAACACATCTGTGGCTGCGGAAGATGCGGTAAAGTGCGATCAGTCCGAATACCTCTGTGCTGGTGACATCGTGGCGGCGGCGCACGACTTAGATTTTCAAACGTGCGGTGTGCTTGCGGATTCAATGGGCACAGTGGTTCACCAGGGTTCTTTGGGCACCATCACAAGCCTCTCGAACGATGCCTCGCATTTGCCGATCCAGACGCACCGCCCAGGTCAGGTTGGGTGCGAGCTGCAATAAAACAGGTGCTTGAATAAGTACTAATGATGTTAGGCAGAACTGGAGAATCCAAAAGAGAGTGAAGAATGAAATGGACGTAGACGTTTTATAGGCGGTATTCTTTCAGGCCCCTACATAACGAAACTCCATTTTTCGACAGGACTGAAAAAGTGCCATTCACATGCTTGAAGGCATCCCTACTGGCCCTGATGCATTTTGAACCACGGGCGGCATTGCTGGCAAAGCTGGTCAGCCTTTTCAAAACCCCTTTTATATATATATATACACTATAATAATGACAGTAATAATCGTAAAAAGAATAATTAGGTATATTATTAATCCGTATATATATATATATTCATATATGTATAGATAGCATGCAAGGCACCTTGGCGTGTGGCTACGACTCAGAGTGGCAAGTTTGCTTATGGCCCACGACCTGCGATCTTCCCGCCAAAAGGGACCCAGACCCCCTAAAGGATCCAAAAAGTGGAACCGCCTAATAACACAACAGGTTCGCCAACGTAGCAATGGGTTCATATTGGGGGGGTCCGTTTTTTGATCCTTTAGGATGTCTGGGGACAGCATTGAAGCAGGCCTACGCATATCTCATGCTAAGCATGCTGAACTCTGGAAATTTTGAAGCAGCAGGTGCATTCACTTTCTGGGCTTTGAGTCTCATCTTAGGGCTAGCGTCTGGATTTATGAGGCCGTAACATGTACGGCAGGCTCGGAGAATGTGTTTCGGGCACCGAGTTAGGAAGTGTGCACTTTAATGCGCTGCCGTTTCATGGGTCATGTGGGTAGTTCCACAAATTCGGGTCCCATTTTGGTACCCCTAAATATACAGTGTGCAATATGATACGTACACCAAAGGGGCCCATAGTTTTGAGAATAACCCATGTGCACCTTTATGCGAAGTGTTGAAACCTTTTTTTTGATCTTCGTTGTAAGTAGTGTAACCTGCTTCGAAACCCTGTCCTGACTATTAAGGCCCCGGCAATACAACTCTTACAAACACCTAGAGAAGCCCAGTTCCATATCAATCATTTTCCATTCTCTTTTCCGCTTAAGTCTCCAAAGCCCTGATCGAGATAACGTGAGAAAGACGGTTTGGCAATTTCTCAGCTAGGTGTCCCCTTTCATCATGGCCTTGAATACGACAACCTGTTTTTACCATAGAGACCGGTCAAAAGTTGACCCTTTCAAATCCAAACCCTGCAGACCAACATGTCATGCCCAAAACCCGAGACCCTAAACCCTAAACCCTGAACAAGAAACCTTGTGGTAGGTCATGAGCTAGGTAGGGCAAAGCTCAAGTTATGATAAGGTCCTATAGTCCTGTGTCCATACTAATGTGGATAACAGTGGTGTCACGTAGCGTGCCTTCCTAGGACCCTAAACCCTAAACCTCAAACCTTAAACCCTAAACCCCCAACCCCCAACCCCAAACCCCTAAACCCTAAACCCTAAACTAGGTTATGTGTCACCTTTTGGGATGGTCAGCCAGGAGAGCTAGCTTTGGGTGTACTTGGGGCCATGCATAGGTGAGAGGAACGATTTCTCGAAGACCTCCTGAAAGTAACATCGTTTCACACATCCATGTAAGTCCTGGTTTTCTAGTGGTATCATGGGAAGTTCGGTGGGGACAAAGATGATATCTTCCACGAACTCTTCAAGATTCGTACATAGCACGCACACATCCTAAACTTTAGAACCTACACTCCAACACAAGCCTATACACAACACTTGTAATCCCAGACGCTAGGTCGGGAAGCCCCAATGTTCTGAGAAACGTCCTCTGGAACGCCATCGGGGCTCCATATAGTCAGTGTGTCTTCGGTTTCCAACGTTTGTTCAAATCAATTTGTGGTTCTGCTGGTTTTGTGACGTGAACCTGAATTGCACGTGTGTATGGGTATTATCGCGTGTATTGCCTTAGAAACTTTTTGGCATATATTCTGAATGTTCATGTTGCACTATGAATGCTGTACATATAGGTATATATGTATATACTTATATGTATGCCTGTGACATGTTAGAAACAGAACTCCTGCAACATATATATGAAGATCTAGTTTACAACTCCCAAGCAGCGCCTCAAATTGCGCTGTGATACTGGGTAGTTAGTTTACAAGGGTTCTCTCCTAATTTTTGGAAGTTGTAAAAACAAGAACATTTTCAAAGCTGCATAATTTTCTCTATAGAACAAGTGCATATTCACATGTCTGCGTTATGTGCAAATAAGGGTGAATCCCCATATTATATACCTTTCTACAATTCATGTGAGAAACCGTGTACTCCATTCTATCATGTCTGTGAGAAACTCATGAAGCTCTAGTGCTGCAAAGCATGGGCCCTGACAGCGGACCTTTCTGAAGTCTAAAGCCCGAAACCCAAGAAACTAAACCAACTGGGGATTGTCCTAAATTGCTGTCAATACGGGGTCCTATATTTGGGTTCCCATTATAGTACGGGGCCCTATATAAATTTCCCCCATTTTGGGAACAGTAATTTAGGGAAACTTC